AGAGAACATCCTGTGAAATATTGGGCTGGATGAATCACAAGCTGGAATCAAGTCTACCAGGAGAAATACCAACAACCTCGGATATGCAGATCATACCACTCTAATGGCAGAAAGCGAAGAGGAAAGAGCCTCTTGATGAAGGCGAAAGAGGGGAGTGAAAAAACTAGCTTAAAACTCAACATTCAAAAAACTAAGATCATGGCATCCAGTCTTATCACTTCATGGCAAATAGATGGGGAAAAAGTGCAAACTGTGTCAGATTTTGTTTTCTTGGGCTCCAAAATCACTGCAGATGGTGACAGCAGCCATGAAATCAAAAGACACTTGCTCCTTGGAAGAAAAGCTATGACAAAACTAGACAGCATATTAAAAAGCAGACACGTCACTTTGCTGACAAAGGTCTGTATAGTCAAAGGTATAGTTTTTCCAGCAGTCATGTACTCATGTGAGAGGTGGACCATAAAGAATTGATCCTTTTGAATTGTGCTGGAGAAGACTCTTGAGAATCTGTTGGTCTTCAAGGAGATCAAACCAGTCAATCTGAAAAGGAAATCAACCCTGAATATTCATTGGAAAGATTGATGGTGAAGCTGAAGCTCCAATGCTTTGGCCACCTGATGCAAAGAGCCAACTCATTGGAGAAGACCCTGATGCTGGGAAAGATTGAGGGCAAGAGGAGAAGAGGGTGACAGAGGTTGAGATGGTCGGATGGCATCACTGACTCAATGGACCTGAGTTTGAGCAGACTCTGGGAGATAGTGAAAGACAGAGGAGCCTGGAAAGCTGCAGTTCATGGGTTGCAAAGAGTCAGACCAGACTTGTGACTGAATGTAGTGAAAAAAAAAAAGGACTCACACTTCCTGATTTCAAAACTTATTACACAGTTAAAATAGTCAAAAAAATACAGTACTGGACTAATAGAAATACAGCCTAAAATAGAACTGAAAATATAGAAATAAACCCAAATATCTATGCAAATTGATTTTCGACAAGGGTGCCAAGACCATTCAGTGGAGAAGAACAGTTTCTTCAACCAACAGTGCTGAAAAACTGGATAACCTCATTCAAAACAATGAAGCTGGAACTCTACCTCACTCCATATATACATAAATTGACACAAAATGGGTCAACAACCTACATTTAAGAGCTAAAATTATAAAATGCCTAGAAAAAAAATAGGGGCTAATCTTTATAACCTTGGATTTGACAACATATTCTTAGGCTTGACACCAAAAGTATGAGCAAATGAAAGAAAAAAAATTAATTGTACTAAATAAAAATTTAAAACTTTTTTTGCATCAAAGAACATTATCAAAAATGTGAAAAGGCAATCTACAGAATGGGAGAAAATATTTGTAAATCATATATCACATATACAGTTAATACCTAGAATAAAGAACTCCTACAACTGAACAACAAAAACAAACAACCCAATTTAAAAATGAATAAAGGAATTGAAAAAAATACAAATCAAAACCACAGTGCTATCACTTCACACCCAGTAGGATGGCTTTAATTTAAAAAAAAAAAAAAAAGGGAAATACAAGCCTTAGCAATTTCGAGAAATAGTTGTTAATACAGCCACTATGGAAAAGTTTGGAGGTTCCTCAAAATATTACAGCATTACCATGTGACTCAGCAACTCCACTCCTAGATATATACCCAAGAGAAATGAAGACACGCCCACACAGAAACTTGTACACAAATGTTTATAGTAGCATTAGTCATAACAGCCAAAGGTGGAAATCAAAATGTCTAAATGTTCATTAATGGATGACTGGAAAAACAAATATTCACACACACATATGCACACACACTGGAATGTCATTCAGTCATAAAAAGGAGTGAAGTACTAACATATGCTGCAACTTGGATAAATCTTGAAAACGTCTTAAGTAAAAGAAAAATCCACACAAAAGGACATGTGTTATATGATTCCCTTTACATGATATACCATAACAGGCAAATCCATAGACACAAAAAGATTAAAGGTTATCAGGGGATGGGAAGAGGTGGAATTGGGAATAATTACTTGTGGGTGTTTCTATGGGGTGATGAAAATTTTTTAAATTAGAGCTGGTGGTTGCACAACATTGTGAATACACTTTGTTGAAATTTTCAGTTGCTAAATCACATCCCACTCTTTGCAACTCCATGGACTGCAGCACACTAGCCCTCCCTGTCCTTCACTATCTCCTGGAGTTTGCTCAAATTCACGTCCATTGTGTTGGTGATGTTATCGAACCACCTCATCCTCTACCGCCCTCTTCTCCTTTGGCCTTCAATCTTTCCCAGCATAGGGGTCTTTTCCAATGAGTTCATTCTTTGCATCAGGTGGCCAAAGTATTAGAGCTTCAGCTTCAGCATTAGTCCTTCCAAAGAATATCCAGGGTTGATTTCCTTTAGGACTGACTGGTTTGATCTCGTTGCAGTTCAACACTCTCAAGAATCTTCTCCAACACCACAATTCAAAAGCACCAATTCTTCAGCACTCAGCCTTCTTTATGGTCCAACTTTTACATGCATACACGGCTACTGAAAAAACCATAGCTTTGACTGTACCAATCTCTGTCAGCAAAGTGATGTCTTTGCTTTTTAATATGCTGTCTAGGTTTGACATACCTTTCCTTCCAAGGAGCAACATTTTGTCACAACTCTCCACTATGACCCATCCATCTTGGGTGACCCTACATAGCATGGCTTATAGCTTCATTGAGTTACACAAGTCCCTTCACCACAAGGCTGTGACCCATGAAGATGTGAATACACTAAATACTACCAAATTGTATAAAGTGATTAATTGTATATCATGTACATTTCCATTAAAAAAAACTTTATGTAGAAATAATAGACCTTACTTTATTAAAGAAATACATTTCAGACATTAATTTTTAGCCTTTACCTAAATTATTCAGTAAAGGGTAGTTACCAAACAACTTCTTCAGCTCCTGCCACACATTCTACCCCAACAGCAGTCAAATTTTGATTCTTTTCCTGATGCTCTAACACTAAACATAATCCTTATCCTTTTAGAGATATGAGTTTCCATTTACTTTCTCTTGTTCATATACAGATAAGTACAATAAAGATTTCCATAGAACTCATAATTTTTAAAACTCAGTAAGAATTAAAATTTCTATGTAAAAGTTTTACTTTGCAGCTTCTTGAGTCTCTTGTCTTTGAGGGGGAGGCTCTTAAGTTCTGTTTTTCATGTTTTAAATTGCTCTAACAAGATTTAATTTCATTGGATAAATCAACACTCAACTCTCATTATTTCACTTTTTTATACAACTACATTTTATGCAAGTAATTCTATGAAATTAAGATTGAGAGGCAAAGGTTATATTCATAAACATGGATTTGAATGGCAGCAAATAGCTTCAAGCTTTTTTCATAAGAGGTAAAAATATTTAAAAGAAAACTGACAGAGAATGAAATATAAAAGGAGGTACAACAGAAATCAAGTCAGAGCTATATATGACCAAGATTTCAAGTTTATTTCATAAAATATAAGCCTGCAGTCAAGTTTCTACTGAAAAAGAAAGTTTATAGATTTAGGCAAAAATATAAAACATAGAAGTAATACTTTTTTCAAACAAACCACCACATTTTGTAGTGTGTGGTTGGTTCATCTTCATTCAGCTAAGAAAAAACTTCTCATGGAGATTTCTGGAGTACTGGAAACAAGAGGTTTCTATATACTAATTATTACAGCCTCTGGCTCATCAATAAAGTTGCAAGTAAATCTTTAAATGGCCTAAACACCAGGATGGTGTTACTGTTCACCATATTTTCTAGCTGTCAGTACACTCAGAACACTTAAAAATACAGACTCACCTTCTATTGAAATAAGTTGTTCTTTAAACTTATCTACATAGTGGTTCCCAAGCAGGGGTGATTTTGTCCCCCCAGAGCCATTTGACAATGTCTAGGAATATTTTTAGTTATCACCTTTGGAGTTCTACTGCATTAGTATGTGGACGCCAATGACGCCACCAAACCTAAAATACACAGGACAGCCTCCCACAATAAAGAATTATCAGGACCAAATGTTGACTTTGAGATATCCTGAGCTGCATTAATGGGCTCATCCATTTCTATCCTAAAATCTGCACCACATGTTTTGTTCTGATGTCACAAAAATTTGATTTGTAACTGTAAGCCCTTGGCTAAATACTACAATCTCATGAAAAGTAGAGGTAAAAATATTTAGGAGAAAACAGACAGAGAATGAAATATAAAACGAAATAAAACAGAAATTATGACCAAAATTTAAAGATCTTGATAAATTCTTGATCTCTCCATCTTAATAGTTTTAATTTGCATTGTAAACAGTATAGAACATGACTGAAAATTAAGGGGCAGTGCAGAGGTTCTTTCTATATTTGTGCCATGTAAATACTTTTTCATTAAAACGAAATTTAAAGAAATGACAAACTATTTAATTCTACATTCAGATTTCAACTTTCAGCACTGCATTTACCTTTGCTGACATATTAACTCTTCTTTGGAAGGAAGTAAGCATCAAACTGTTTGTTCTTTCTGCTATTTCAAACCTGTTAGTACTAAAAAGCACTTAAAAAATAATACTATTTAGGATATCCTTAATTCCAAATCAGATTGCCCCAGAGAGAGCAAATGGGCAACATCTATTACTTTTGTTAGTTTCTGAGAACTAAAAAAAGGGAAAAAAGGTAATAAAGTGATCTTCAAATTAAAATTTTAATTAATACTGGTCCCTAAAAGTCAGTTTAAAATAAAAATCAAGTTCCACAAAATAAATACACTGAAGCAACTATAATAGTAATAGCCTTTATTTAAAATACCTTTAATCTAGGAAAGCTCATTTTACATGAGTTTCCAACTAATTAGAGTCAAAACAAAGAAAATAAAACCAGAGAAAATCCTCTGTAGAAAAAATACACAAGGAACATTTCTACACGTGAAAAAGCAGTAAGCGGTCTTAACATCTGAACATCCAAGTTTTAATTCCATCTCTCCTAGTGAACACTACTATCAACCTTGAGATCTGACTTGTTCTTGTCATTCTTCACTGAGTAGATGAAATATGTTAAGGTGTCTTTTTCATTCACTGGAATAGACCTAAAGTGGCAACCAACTATCTATAAAGAAAAAAAATTGAGGAAATTAAATTATAGATATTAATAGATTTTATAAACTAGGTAAAAAAAAAACACTGTCATCAAAAGAAAAAGTGTGGTAAGAGCTTTTTCCTTTCAAAAATAAATTGTATTTAACAAAATACCAACAGGACAAAAAGCATATAATAATAAGATGTTATGAACAAGAGATAGTGTAATTTCAAAAGACCCCTTAGCCCACTCAATTAAGTATATAGTAATCAGAATGTGTACTTCACTTTATTTTAAATTTTATAGCTGAGAACTAGATCAAGAGATAAATACTTTTACTTGTAAACTTCAAATGTCAATGAAATAAAACAGAATGTAAGAGTCCACGTGCATTATATAATGGTTTAGTCTCTACTTATGGAAAAAGAACAACCATTAACTCGGAAAAGTTTTGGTACGATAGAAACAAACCAAGAATTATCTTACAAATATGTTTGCTACAATTTAACATTCATTCATTCATTGGAAATATTCTTTGTTAAGACTCCCTGAAATTTTTTCTGTATAAAAATTATGGATGAGAAATGAGAAGGGAAAGGATGTCCACTGAAGAATGTTTACCTGCCTTCTTGCCTTTTCATTCTGCTAATGTAACACATGCACTGCAACTACCAGTAGAAGTATATTAGACTAAACTGGGGCACTGAAATGCATATTTAGATTCCAGCAGGAAAAACTTCTTAAAGAAAAAGATAAGAGACTTACAGAGCCTGGTCACTCAATTCTGAAATTGTTCATAAATATCTGCATTTCTGACTAAGTTATAACACTCATACTATTTGGATTTCTCATTTCTAAATAAGAAAACAGATCTTTAAAAGAAGATCAGATTATCAAAAATATCAGGTTTGATTTCTGCCTTTAAAAAAGATATATTTAAAATAACCAGTTCTTAGGTTGTCATTTGTTCCAAAATAAAAGCACCTTCACTATGTATCTGTATATATATCGATATATTAATAATTTCATCATGGCAGGAAATATATTTATGTTATATTAATGTACTATATAACTTGAAAAGGACTTAATTTTTTAAATCAAATTTAAAGAAAAATTAGATTGTTGTCTAAGCAAGAAGGAAAAAAGAAATTCTGGCTAAAGCCTTCATGTTAAAAAGCATTCTGCCAAAGAAGTATACCTTCTATTCACCTATGTTATTCAATGTGGACATTTTATAAAATGTTGGTTTCCTAACAAACTGAATATGGGAAAACTGATTTACATATTTATTTATAGTCTGTCAAGTAGGTTAAGCATTTTTATTTTAAACATAATAGAAGTATAAACATATAAATCTATAGATATCTTAATATGACACACAGTTTCTTGGCTCCATTATTTCCTGAGAACACAAGTACTCAACTTCTCAAAATTCACTGAAGGACTGCGAGTCCTATTTTCAGGAACCTATACGTAAAAGCATGGATAAAAGTCCTTGTGTTTTCTAGTCATAAAAACAGGGATGCTTCAAATAAAACAAACTAACATCAACAAGTTCTGAAATAGTTAAATCAGCAAGTTACGGGAATACTGTTTAGAGGTTTATCTGTAAAATCTATTCCAACAAAAACTTCAAGAAAACTCTAACAAAGACATCAAAGCTTATTAAGTTATTATTATGCCTCAATTAGGTGCTCACTAAGTGTTTACTGAGTAAAATAGAATTTTAAAAGAAACAGGTTTCTAGAGAGAGAATAAAAAAACTTTTACTTACTATTTCTGAAAGTCAGTATTAAAAGATGCTTAGAAAACTGCATACAATCTACTGAGTAATCATTATATAAAGGAATTTCCTAAGTGGTAGACAAACATTTCTAGACAACTAGATTCTTCCACAATAGATTTTTTTATTAACTTTGATTTTTATAATTAAAATGTATTGTTATATATGCTAAATTAACATTATTAGCATTTAATGATTTTTTTGTATTATAGGTTAAATAGTTTAAAACTCATATATACCTCAACAAGCTGTGCTTTATTAAGTCCCGGTCTGGTTGGGAGTTTGAAGTGTCTTTTGTATCTCCTAAGTGTATTCACCTGTAATTGGTATAAATCAACCTAGAAAAAATTAACGTATATGAATTAGTTCATACCATTTGATTATGACTAATATTTGCTATAAAAAACATTTCAACTTCAACACAATGAAAATTTAATTCCATTATTTTAAAAGGCTTAAATAATCAAAACTAAAAATGCATTAAACACTTCAATCTTTTTGAGGATGATTATTAAAGACTGGGGACTGTAAGAATTGTCAGTTGAGGAGGGAGGTTCAAGAGGGAGGGACATATGTACACTTATGGCTGATTCATGTTGAAGTTTGACAGGAAACAACAAAATTCTGTAAAGTAATTACCCTTCAATTAAAAAATAAGTTTTTTAAAAAGTAAAAAAAAGTTGTCAATTAAAGCCATAACAAGTCAAACTGCATAACTGAATGTTAACTGGTTATATTTAATTTTGTTTTCGTTTTTAGAGTTTTCAAATGCTTAAAGTATTTTTCGAATTTGTTCATATTTTTAAAATAAAACTTTCAGAATAGAGCACTTAAGTTTTATATTTAACTTACAAAGCTTTCACCTACCTCCGGAGTATCAATATCTTGAACAGGTGAATCTCCTCCATCATCATCACTCCCTTTTCTCTTTCTCCTGTTTCGCACGCTCTGAATTAAGTTTTTATGATAATCACAAATGTAAAGATGTCTTGCCTGAAACAGAAGAGTTTCACAGACTATTTATGATCACAGGAAAATGTGTCTATGTATTAGTAAAATACATAGTTACGGTGAATTATTAAAAATATAAACATTAGTAACAGGCCATTGTTAAGACAACACACGTTTCTTGCTACTCTTAAGTCCTAAACCCAGTTAAAACATATCATGTCTAGCAATATTGTTAAAGAGGACTGGGGGGTGGGGCAGGGAGAAGGGCCAGTAACGGAAGGGAGAGAAGCAGAGAAGGAGAAATTCCTACGCTCTGGATTCTGTCATCAAATTGCAGCGATGGTGAACTAGATTAGTTCAGCTATGCCGTTTTTTTTAAACAAGCGAAAAATGATGCTGGCCACAGTTTTGCTATTTGAATAGTATTTTCTTTACTTAAAAGCGCATTTAAAAAAAGTTAATACCATAGTGAATGCTTCTTAATCTAACTTAATACTCAAATTATAATCCAGACACAAAACCATCAACTTTTTACAAATAAATTATTGATTTCACATCCTTACTAAATTTAAATTTGAATTATGAACTTTCCTGAGTATTAAATAAAAGCATTTATTTATAATACGTTTTACCAACCAAAACAATGTGAAATGATTCAACTATACCTGGAAAGTTTCTCAAGTACAGAGCTGAGGAACTAACTGAATAGGCAAAATGTATCCCAAATACAGTTCTCAAAAACGTTAATTACATAGTTCAGAGAGCTGTACGGTAGCCTCTGAAATACTGGGCATTGTACATCAGCAGTTACTTCTTTAAAAAAAATTGAGAGTGAGCTAACAGGTTTTCAAATTAAACTTTGAGCTAAAGTGCAATTTAAGAAGATGCAGGACGTGTGCTGGTTCTCACATCTTGTGATTTATTACCGCTCCCCAGGGCTCGGAAAAGCGGAAACGGTCGTTTCTAAAAACCTCATAGATGGTCAGAGGAACAGACCTGTGAAAGGACGAAGAAAGAAACCCTGATGGCTGCCAAACGGAGGGCTAACCCGCAGCGGCTGCCCGCTCCCCACGTCTTGAGCAGCAGCCCTAGATGATGACACGGCCGCGCGGCTCGCAGCCGGGGGTCTCCCACCCCGCACCCGCGGGACCCGGGACAGGGTCCTAGTCGCCCGCAGCGTCCGGTCCTGGCTGATCTCCACTCCTGGACCGGGGAAGCTACCGCTCGGGCTGCAAAACAAAGAAGGTAACTCGGTTCCAGAAGGAGCCGTGGGTTGCAGGACAGCTACTCTGGGTTCTCGGCGCGGCCGCCCCCTTTGTTTCACTACCGACCCCCGCAGAGGACTGGAGGCCCTGCGCGGGTGGGGGCGCTGGAGCGGGTCCCGGGGGCGCGAGTGTCTACTGCGGACGGCGGGCCGAGTTGCAGCACTTTGTTGTTTGTTTCCTCCTACTAGGGACCCCGGAACGGGAACGCGAGGCACCCAGGTCTGGGGCTCCCGCACACCCACCGACACGCGTCTGCTCCTCTCCCCGAGCGCCCCTGGGTGCGGGCAGAGCAGATTCGTACCGCCGTCACTTACGCTCTTATCCAACTCGATCTTCACCTTCTTCTGGGAGATGCTCTTCTGGATCCTCTTACTGAAGCTGGCGTTGCCCGCGGCCCGGCCGCACCGCTCGCCGTCCTCGCGCAGACAGCACAGCTGCCCGGGGCCCGGCCCTGCCGCTCCCGGCGGCCCCGCCACCGAGACCGCCCCTGCGCCCGGCACCTCAGTCCCGGCGCCAGCCCCAGCCCCGTTCCCGGCTGACGCGGCGGCGGCAGCAGCGGCGACCACGGCGGCCACAGCGGCGGCCGCGTCCCCGCCGCGGCTCATGTCCTCGGGAGTGAAGCCGTTCATGTTCCCGCACTCGCAGCGCCGCGCTGACAGAAGCCCTGCTCTCCGCGCCGCCTGCCTCTCTGGATGCCGGGGGTCTCGGCGGTCCCTCGCACCTGCTTGGCGTAGACTACTAACTCTGAGCCAGGGTCCTCCGGCCAAGACCACGGGGTCCCGGCCTACTGGTGTCTGCAGGCACAGGGTCAGTGGACGGGGCGTGGGATCAGGAACTGGAATCTGGCGTCGCCAGGAGCTGGGACGCCGCTCACTGTCACATGGAGACTCCTCAGCAGTTGGACCTCGATACCTCCGCCTCCCTTCGACCCTCGATCTGCGCAAGCGCGTTGCGCCGTTGCCCGTCCCACTCTGCCCGCAAGGCACCACGGGGATTGTAGTTCTCTTTTGGGGAGCCAACCTGATAGGCTCCACTCTGACATCGAGCTTCAAGGTTTAAGGGAACTACTTACCCCAGCATTCATCGCGCGGAGGCGGATCTGGATTTTTTTTCGGTAATACATTGAGAAAACAGGGACGTGTGGTTGGAAGGGGTTGCTCCCGGGAAGTTGAGCTGTGTTTAGCTCCTGGATTTTGCAGAGCTGGCACTTTAGACGAAGAGGTCACTTAACTCCTGAAGCGAAGCACAAAAGGCGGATTTTTTTCGGTAATACATTGAGAAATCAGGGGCGTGTGGTTGGAAGGGGTTGCTCCCGGGAAGTTGAGCTGTGTTTAGCTCCTGGATTTTGCAGAGCCGGCACTTTAGACGAAGAGGTCACTTAACTCCTGAAGCGAAGCACAAAAGGCGGAAGGCGGGGTAGCAGGGGAGGGGATGCGAGGGTAGGATGGGAGGGGATGAAAGGGGAAGGAAGGTGTGGGGAAAAAAAGTTTTGGGCCCTTTTTGTATCTGTGAAAAAGTTTTTGATGTAAATACGTCTTTTGTGGGGCTTCCCAAGTGGCCCAGTGGTAAAGAATCCGCCTGCCAAATGCAGGAGACATGAGTTCGACCCCTGGATGGGGAAGAGCCCCTGGAGAAAGAAACCCGCTCCAGTGCTGTTGCCTGAAAAAGCCCATAGACAGAGGAGCCTGGCGGGCTACAGTCTGTGGGGTTGCAAGAGTCAGACACGACTTAGCAACTAAACATTTTTGTGGGAAACCCAAACCAAGGAAAACGGCGCTCTGGCAGTTTTTGGGTCCCAGAGGTCCCATGTCTAAACCTGGGTCTGGGTAGCAGCTCTTCCGACTGACACCCGAGATGGTCCATCAGAGCGCCTGTGGGGGCGGTGGGAAGGGCGGGGAGACGTGCGTCCCAACCTCCCCTTCAGCAGGAGGACTGGAGGTTCTCCAGATCCGAGCATTGTCCGTGCGAGGATCGCGCTGGCTTGCGGGGCGCACTCTATCTACGGCCTCCTGAGGTGGAGCTCTGAACGAGTGGACTTAAAAGGGCTGCTTTCCGCCTCCAGCCCGGGCATCTCCACTTTGTCCTCGAAGGAACCGGGAACCTGTCTAATCACACTTGAAAAATAAAAAGCAGAACCCCTCCGAGTTCTGGTCAGCCACGAGCTCCCAGAGACCGAAGGCGCGCGCTCGGCCGAGCGCCGGGAAAGGGGCGCTTCGGGCTCGTGAGCGCGCGCACGCGTGTGTCTCTGTACGTGTCTCTGTGCGCGCGCGTGTGAATGTACGTGTGTACGCCTGCTTGTGGAGGGCGGTGTGGAAGGTTGGGAGTGGCTGGTACGAGAGCTACACCTTTGCTAATGGTAGCGCGTCATTTATCAGTACGTATATCCTGTTCAATCCCATTGTTTAAACAAAAATAGAAAGCAGTAGGGTTTTTTGGAAAGCTCTTTTGTATTTGCTGAGTAAACTGAGTGATAGATGAGTTTTTAAGAATGTAAACTGTCATCCACCCTGAAATTCACAGCCATCCAGTCCGTCTGTGCACTTCCACTCAAAGAAACAGCAAAGGAAGAAAAACATTTTAAATAAATTTAGTGGGCAAAAGATGCTGAATGGTGAGTGTTGTGTTTTCTTTTCAAGCTGCGCCGTCCAATAGGGTGTCTGCTTGCCTTATTGGGCTATATCGAGCACTTTAAATGCGGTTAATTGTGAATGAAAAACTGAATTGTTCATTTTAATTCATTAAAAAATTTTAAACTGATTTCACTTATTGGAAAACTTCGAAGTATGTTTGTAACAATCTATTTTTTCGACTTAAATGTTAAGTCTAAACTTAAAACCTGAACTGAGATATGCCAGTATATATCAACTACCAGCAGGATTTCAAAGACTTAGTAACATTTTTCTTAAGAATATTTAGTAATTTTTTTACATTACAAGTTCAAATTACATTTTCGCTGTACTGGGTTAAATATAATATTAAAATTGACTTGTTTCTACTTTGCAAAATATGCCTACTGTAAGATTTAAAACTACACATATAGCTCACATTGTTTATATTAGATATTGTTGGCTTAAAGTATTAAAATGCAGAATAATACTTCTTGTTTATGGATATGGTTTCTTAAATAATAAAAATGAGAATATATGAACAGGATGGACCAACTTCAGAGTGGTGGTCATGTTAGGAGAAGCCAATGGATTAACATCTGGGAATGGCTGAAAGGTGGTTTCCATTTACAATCTAAAGCAGACATGATATTAGGATGTTAGATTTTCATATTTTGGGTACTTTTATATAATTTAAAATAATTTATAATACTGTGTGGTTCTTGCCCTTTAAAAGTTTATAACCTATCTTCTGCAAATATGATCAAATCAATTCATGTATGGTATAGTTATATATCAGTTTCATATGAATTTTACTAGTGATAAACTGACTATGCCTCCTTTACATACAGACAATGCAATGTTTTTAAAAGTTCCAATCAAATACTCATTTATTGGCATGCCAGGATCTTTTCTGGGCCCTTGGGATAGAAAAATAATTGGGAGAGGGTACTAATCATTTTGGATCTCAGCCTAAATGGGGAGACAGGTAGCTTAACAAGCACATGATACTTGCTGCTGAAAACGAATGTTTGGGATGTTGAAACCAAATCCTTAATGTGATGAGATCTGAAGGTCAGGTCTTTAGGAGGTGATTAAGCCATAAGAGTGGAGCCCCCAGGAGTGGGATCAGTGCCCTAGAAAAGAGGCTCTAGAAAGCAACCTCATTCCTTCTGCCATCCATGTCAGAAGATTGCCACCTATTAACCAGAAAGTGGACACTCACCATCCATGAACGTATCAGCACCTTGATCTTGGACTTCCCACCCTCCAGGAACTGTAAGAAATAAATTTGTTTTGTTTATAAGCTCCCCCACCCACCACCCCCCCGCCCCAAACGGTATTTTTTATAGTAGCTTAGACAACCTGGACTTCCCTGGTAGCTCAGCTAGTAAAGAATCCGCCTGCAATGCAGGAGACCCTGGTTTGATTCCTGGGTCAGGAAGTTCCCCTGGAGAGGGGATAGGCTACCCACTCCAGTATTCTTGGGCTTTCCTGGTGGTTCAGACAGTAAAGAATCTGCCTGCAATGTGGGAGACCTGGGTTCGATCCCTGGGTGAAGATCCCCTCGAGGAAGGCATGACAACCCACTCGTATTCTTGCCTGGAGAATCCCCATAGATAGAGGAGACTGGCAGCTTACTGTTCATGGGGTTGCAGAGAGTTGGACACGACTGAGTGACTAAACACACAGACAAAGACACATCCCTCAATAAAATTAAAGGAAAAGTATAGACTTAGCATACAGAAGGAAATGATTCACCTCTGGCAAGTAGAAAACATTGTGGAGTAGATGACATGTAAATTCACCATCCCTGATTTAAAGTTATCTCTTTAGTACATCTGTTGTCCCTACAAAGAAATTTTCTTAACAACCATGGTTCATTGTTTATTTCTACAACTTCTCATATTCAGCAGGAGGTGTAGAAATGCTCTAAGTATAACTCAAGTCAAGGTTGGAATCAGGTTTTGGGGAGCTTCAAGTCCATGGGATCCCAATGAGTCAGACATGACTTAGCAACTGAACAACAACAAAGTTTATATAATCTGAGGGATCTTTAAGAAAAAACATACAGAATTATGAATGCAAAATTAGATACAAGCCTTGTCCAGGTGACGGACTCTGAACCTTATGTCCATTTGCTTCATGGTAAATCTTCCTCACAAGAGACAAAAAAGAAACATAGATTAAACCTAAATAATAAGGGTATTTTTGACATCATCAAAATATTCTTTGCTTTATTAAAAGCTTTAGAGGGTTCAAAATATTCTTTAAAAAAAGAATTTTTCCCTGCCTTTCTTCCCTCTAAAGCTTTTAATGTGATTGAATTTTTTTCTAGTTTTACTGCAAAGTAAGCAATTCCATAATTTCAAAAATATGCAAATTGGTCCTTAATCCTCACATGAACATGACTGTAAGTTCTAATGACACAAAAAGATTCAGTATGAAAAACCAAAGACCATTTCCCCTCATCTCTCCAAATCCATGTCCCTGAAAGCAACTAATGTTAATATCCTATGTTTCCTTCTAAGAAAACAATTATGTATATATACCATAAATTGGCTTCCCTCATGGCTCAGAGGGTAAAGAATCTGCCTGCAATGTAGGAGACCCAGGTTCAATCCCTGGCTTGAGAAGATCCCGTGGAGAAGGCAATGGCTACCCACTCCAGTATTCTTGCCTCAAGAATTCCATGGACAGAGGAACCTGGTGGGCTACAGTCCATGGGATGGCAATGAGTTGGACATGACTGAGTGAAAAAACATACAAGTTTATACATCTTTATACAGGAATAATTCTACTTTACTGCAACTAAGATCATGCTGTTTTACTCCATGCTTTGTCCTAGTTTAAATTACAATAAGCACAACAAAAAAAGTGCATACCACATAACTGTCCAGTTTAAGCAGTTGTGGTAAAATAACCATCCATATAACTGCAACCCAGCTCAAGAAATAGAACACTGTCAACAGGGCCAAGGCTCAGAAGGCTCAGAGCCACTGCCTCCAACTCCTTACTCTCTC